CCTAGATGTCTGAGCGTGAGGGAGGGTATTGATGAGAAACATCCCACATCGGAAATATAAGAATTAATCTACCACTATATAAAGGGTTGGAGCCAATCCACTAATCACCAATTGGTTTTAAGTTGGAAGCCCGTCCAACATCGGTATAGTAGTAGTACGGTATAGTAGTAGTAATTGTAGTAAATTAGGTCAAAGGATCTTATCGCTCTGATACCATGTTAAATTCGGGTTTGTTATGGGATCTTATCGCTCTGATACCATGTTAGATTCGGGTTTATTATGGGCTTCCAACTTAAAACCAATTGGTGATAAGTAGATTGGCCCTAACCCTTTATATATTACTTAAGGTCCCTTTGATTTCCCGATGTGGGATATATTATCCCTAATACCCCTCCTCGAGATGATGGCTCTTATCGGCCAGAAATCTCGGAACTTTAAGACAGTTATACTCGGTCGAGCGAGTCAAATACGACAATTATACCTAGCCGGAAGGTTAAACACGACATATATACCCGGTCGGAAGGGTAATTAATTAATTAGGAGTTTAGGGCTTTTAGGATCTGGGCTCTGATACCATGTTAAGGTAGATGGGCTTCCAACCTAAAACCAATTGGTGATAAGTGGAGTGACCCATCTATCTTATATATTGCTAGAGATCCCTTCCAATAACCGATGTGGGACCTTAGTCCCTAATACGCCCCCTCGAGATGATGGCTCTCTGGCATCAATCTCGGAATGTTCGGGCAAAGATCGATGGGCCGACTTTGGGCTGGATCGATAAGGATCGGGTTGGACTGCGTGGATCGTGGGCTCTGATACCATGTTAAGGTAGATGGGCTTCCAACCTAAAACTAATTGGTGATAAGTGGATTGGCCCTAGCCCTTTATATATTACTTAAGGTCCCTTTGATTTCCCGATGTGGGATATATTATCCCTAATAATTTTTGACACAAAGTCTCGTTAAATCATGGTGGTGACTAAAATGGCGGAGCGTGTTGCCATCTACCTCCATCAACGACGTAAAATCTTGATGATTAGGGTTACTTGTTTCTTCTTCTGGCTCTCGCTCCAAATCTCTGCCATCCCACGTATCTTTATCAGTTGCACAATATGAGTGGAGTTTATAATCACACGTCTTGTCAATACAAATATATCCTCCGCATCCGGAAACAACCGAGTCATAATAACATAGCTGACATTTCGTGTTAGGGTTAGGAACTTGAAAAGTATGAAACAAACGGTGTGGATGACGAGTGAGCTTTATAACCCTTGGCAAATTGATACACTTTCTGTGGATGAAGAAGTTGCAGGGCAAACATGCGTACATATTCATCTTCTCCTCATCGACTCTTCCGCAAGCATCACAGTTGAAAGAGTTCTTTTTGCGAATGAAGGTGAGCGTATGTTCATGTGTCTCTGGACGATCTATTGTCAGGTAATTCGACTCCATCAAAGTAGTTTCACATTCTTTGTGAAAATAGAAATCACATAACCAACAATAAAAACAATTGGAATCGATCATATTTTCACAAATAATGCATTTGCGTGGAAAAAAATGGTCGATATGTGGACTATACTCTTCAAGGAAATGTTTTGGATGAAAAGTGGTGGTGAGATTTTCCATAGGGGTTTTTTTTGTTACTTTAGGAAAACTCAAGTCTTTGTTTATAAACAACATTCATTGCATTTATAGAGTACTCATCATTTTGTGGAATGAAGGTATGGTTAACTTTAAAGATATTGCTTGGATTGCAAGAAAAAGTAAATTTAATGCCTTGCTTTATACCATGGACTTTACACTACTTTGCTTATTATATTATTTGGGTATAGAATAGCGTACGAATAGTATAAGATCACTTTAAATGATGCTTTCTTTCATCCCACGCAAATTTCTTTAACTTTGTCTAAAGTCAGTTGTTATCTGCATAACTGGGAGTTTGTTGTTCGTTTGTGAAATATTTTCAAAATTTAATACATAACTCAACTGATAAATTTTAAAATAGTTATTCGATAATAAAATAGCAAATGAGATGGAAGCGAAGTAAGACTTTATCTGTCATATATTAAAGAGAGTTGAAGAAAATATTCATTTCTATAGATACAATGGGACCAGTATGTTAACTGACTAGAATAAAATTTTGTGATTGTCCCATTGACTCTTCATTTGATTTTAGTTTCACCTTATGTGTTGCAGTTAGAGACATTTATCGTCCTGCTACTTCGCTTCATCACTTTATAGAGACACTTAGCCTTAATGTGAAACCTACGCTGCATATAACTCACCTCCGTAGCTCTATACATTTTTTTCTGCATCTTTCACAAACTCATACTTCCATACATTACAAAACCAACCTATTTTTTGTATCAAAACATTTGATTCAAACCCGAAATTAATGGACTCTTCCAAATCAAGCCAAAGCCTTCATTACACAAGAAAACATTGGTACCCTTTTACTAAAAGAGTTGCAATTCAGAGAGTTTTATATGATTTTATGGTTGGACGACAACCCAAATTCCAACAAGAAAGGTGGGAAAGGCTATAACCCTTACAATCCTTCACACATGACATGCTTTAGCAATCCGTTTTCTCTTTTCATCTGCCAATAAAATGATGCAATCTTTCTAGAGATTTACATTATCTCCCAAGTCAGAAGATTCGTTAGCTCAGATATAACGACCTTATGTGAGAGACAACAAACATATACTTCTAACTATATATTAGATTTTTGGTTTTCAGTTTTTTGTCAGAACATATGTCAATAAGAGCATGTCCAATGCTGATACTCTCTGCTCGATTACCCAGATATGATTTTTATATTATTTTATTATTATATTTTTTTAGTCTTTTTGTAAAATAAAAAAAAAGAAGGGTTAATCGTGGGATCCCATGTGACGGTGGATCCCGCGCACAGTAACATACCTGAGGGTTAATCAATCCTCGCAGAGGGATTTATTGAGTCTATGTTGGCTGCAAAACCAAGAAAATGGAACCAACATCTTTTTTTAATATTTTTTCACACGTGACTGTACAGTTAAAGATTCTTTAAACACTAGCGTTGGACATGTTCTAAGGCCATCTTTATCCCTAATGTCTCTTAATCAATAATTTTGTGTTAAAGATTTTAGTTAAGAGACACCTAAATTTTCTCCTCCATTGCAAGTCTCTTATCTAGGGAGTTCTTAAAAAAAATAGCTTTTTTGCAATGCTTTTAAACATTGTGTTTGCCAAAAACAGATTTTTGTAACTTTTTGCTATAGTTTGTCAAGTGTGATTTACAAAGAGAGCAATATAGTTAACTAAACAAATGGAAGAGCCAAAAAAAAAAAAAAACTGTGAAGGGAAGAAGAGTAAGAGGAGGACGAGTACTTATGGAAACAAAAACAAGGACACCACTTTGATTAATTCAATGATCTATGACCGAGAAATCATCATCAGAGATAGATTAATGATCTTGAGACAATTGAGAACAATGGGTTTAGTGATGAGCATTGCCTTCAACCTTGGGTGCCTTCTTTGTCATCTGTAGGTGAAAAAAAGCAAACCAACATTGATGATCACCTGCAAATATGCCACAAACGCATCATTTTTTAATGATCTTAAAGCTTCTTTTATTTGGTTCATAAACTCACTTATTATGTACATCTCATACTCAAATGAAATTTGTCTTTGCTAGCTAGAATCAACTTATCCAAGATTTTTTTAATCATCACAAATCAATATGTAGAAGAAAAAAAAGGTGTAGAACCTCATCAAAGACAGGGATACTTCCATCAACAAGACCAGTGTTTCCTCCGTGAGGAACAACAGCTAAACTCCTAGAATCACAATACTTAAGTATCTCAGACACCTGCAACAAAACACAGAATCTACCTTTAACACAAATAATCATCACAAATTCACAATGGTAAAAAAAAAACGATTATAATACTAAAGGGACTCAGAAGACTCATAAAAAAAACGATTATAATACCTATATCACATAGCCAATGGGGTCGCAGCTGCATTAGTAAGTTGCTTTTTAAATCAGTGTTCTTTTTTATTTAACATACCGATTATACTACTAAAGGAAACTCAGAAGATGATTGTAATCGCCTCTTTAACCGTATGAATATTTACTAATCTTCAGCAGTAGTGATGCAGAGATATATGATGTTTCAGTGAACTCATGTAACATCATGCTGGATCAAACTTCACCCCCAAAGTAGGTCAAAGATTATAAAGTTGAGCACAAAACACAGAATCTACCTTTAACACAAATATCACAATCATAATTGAGTTATATAATGTATTGTAGATTTATAGCAGATACGAGCACTTACGTAGAGTTATATAATCTACCTTCCAGGCCTTACGTAAGAGGCAGGCCTTCATCATTTTTCCGTTTTTATTTTTTTTTAAACCTAAGAGCCCACTTAAGAGGCAGCGTTAAAGATGCTCTAACCTCCAACAAAAAAATAATGCATTTGTGACTAGATTTGACAGTGACTAGATTTAGCACATTCAACCCCCACAAAATTAGGAATGATTTATACATACACAACTAACTTCTCTTCTACAATGATTCTTTGCAGGCTAATAACAATTAAAAGAAGAGATGAATTCCCAAAGACAAAAAGAAACGAACCTTGAGAGAGTTAAGGGATCATTTTGATTCCTACTGAACACAAGGGTATCGAGTAACATAGATTATTTTGATTCCTACTTAATTGTATACTTGTATCTTTTTTGTATACTTGTATCTATCGACCAACATGGTCAAGTGAATCATTGTATAGTGACTTTGTCAATTATCTGTTCATGTCAGACACATGAGAATTTTTGTATAAAAATTAGTAAAACGACTGCGTCTACCAAACTTAAAAACGACGCGTATTGAGGAAATAAGGGAGGGAAAGGAAAACACGCGAAAACGAAAACCACTCCCGCTATAATTCTTTGCCATTTCGTGTATCACGCGGATCGACTCTAACAACCGTTGATTATATCTCTTAATCGACGGCCAATACATACTCATTAATAGTATATATAACTAACTACTCTCTCCTTCAAATTTCACAAATCTCAAATCATTATTACTTAATCGCAATCTTATCCCATTTTCTCGAGAGATTTTCTTGTTTTGAAACATGTCTGGTCGTGGAAAGGGAGGAAAAGGTTTGGGAAAAGGAGGAGCCAAGCGTCACAGGAAGGTTCTCAGAGACAACATCCAAGGAATCACCAAGCCTGCTATTCGTCGTTTAGCTCGTCGAGGTGGAGTCAAGCGTATCAGTGGTCTCATCTACGAGGAGACACGTGGCGTCCTCAAGATCTTCTTGGAGAATGTTATCCGTGACGCTGTTACGTACACAGAGCACGCGAGGAGGAAGACGGTGACGGCGATGGATGTGGTTTATGCTCTCAAGAGGCAAGGAAGAACCCTCTATGGATTCGGCGGCTAGGGTTTTGAATCGTGTTGTATTGTACTTTCTTTGTTTTTAGTTAAGCTGTTGATTTCAAAGTTTGGTGTTAAACACATAAAAGAACAAAAAGTTGAGGATTGTAGTTGCAATTTGATTAAATGAATGTTAATTTTTTCTTGGTAGAGTTTGATAACCGGTTCGGTTTAATCATTTGTTCAAAATTGGTCTTTTAATTCATACCATAGATCAAATGATTGTGTCTTTTTCTATAAATAATACCAGTAAATCAGAACACTAGTTTTCGTAAAATCTGCCATATTCTAGAGAGAACGAGAAGGCAAAGCTTGGAGCCAGCTCTTCTTCCCTGAGCTTTCTCCGTGAATTTGGAACGATGCCAGCTCCGGGAAGCGAAGACGCCGTGGTGATCGAAATGGGGAAAAAGGCGGGAGAGCCGCATGTTATTACCGTTAATTGTCCGGACAGGACTGGTTTAGGCTGTGATATTTGCAGAATCGTCCTCGATTTTGGCCTTTATACCAAAAAAGGAGGTAAGATTTTGTTCCAGCAAGACCATACACCCACAACATGAATCATTCTTTATCTGTGAATTTTGCTTACAAACGTCTGAGTCTTGATTTTTTTTTTGTTATATGTTACAACGGATGAAGTATGGTGTTACATAGTTTGTATCTGTGTGCCCCTCTTAACCACCCTCCCGGGGAATGCAGTCACATACATCCCTGCATGTTTTTGTCACAAGATGTAGAAGACCCTGAAAGCATGATATAAATAGACTCATCGTTGGAGTGTACAGTTACAATATACAAGAAAAGAGTCTGATATCTTTCAGATCTTTGTGGAGAGTTAGCCAATTTATCTGAGGTTTTAGGTACAATTAAAATCATATCAATCAACCCGAACACTTCAGGTCTAGCTTTCTCAATGGACTTGGGAGTTTTGTGTTTGATTGGCTATTGCACTTGCATGACCGCTTTTCTTGCAATCCAAGTATCCAGCAAATCTTTCAGTCACATCATACTTTGGGACCATGTTCATGGTGACATTTGCTGTTTTTCATGAGTCAAAACATACATTACAAAACCAACCTATTTTTCGTATCAAAACATTTGATTCAAACCCGAGTTGTATTGAACCCGCCAAATCAAAAGCCCAAGCCTTCAATACACAAGAAAACACTGGTACCTTTTTTAATTAAAAGAGATGCAATGCTGAGAGTTTTATATGATTTTATGGTTGGAGGACAACAAACACTCAAGTAATCTCACAAACTCCAACAAGAAGGGTGTGAAATGCTGCAAACACAACCTTTTACACATACAAGATTGCAACAGCCTCTTCAACGAAGAGGTTTATACAGTTGATAGAACAGAAAGAGACGGCATTGCTCTTATTCTTGAAAACCAGTTTATCTTGGCAGATAGAGTGGCATGCACGGCATACCGGCCGCCGAGAATTAATGTTGGAAGCAATCTCAATCTCAAAGCCATTCAGCTTGATCACATGTCCAGGTTTCAGAAACGGGTATCTCCCTATTGCACACTCAACGTGTACAGTTGTGTTGCAATCAAAGCATCCGTAGAAATCTTGAAAATCCGGATGATCTGGTTTTACTCCCATTTCACAGGCTTCACAATGCGACGACAACCATGATTTTTTTTCAGAAACACGTAGGGTAAGTGGATGAGTGTCGTACTTGCATTTTACCAACTTCGGCAGAGAGGTGCGTTTTGGATTCAAATAAAAACCGCATTTGCTACAAATTGCTCCAGTGGGTAATAGGTAGGGAGAGTGTCTGTAGGATCCTATGCATAATGGATCAGCAGCAACAAGGGAAGCACACTTCACATCCATTTTAAACTCGCACTCCTCTCGGCAGCATCGGTACATGAAACCACAAGATTCTCTTTCACATTTAGAACAACTGAAGAAGCCTTCTTCGGTTATGTCCACCTCTAGGGTTAGTGGATGGCGGTGAAACGTGTGTTCCAGCTTCCGAGGAAGACTTGCACAAGTGTCATGGAGTGCGAAATCACATTCCTTGCAACACAAGAAACCATCAAAGTCAATGGGAAGGATGCATGCTTGACATACTCGTCCGCCTTCTTCATTTTCTTCACTATTTTTGACACAAAGTCTCGTTAAATCATGGTGGTGACTAAAATGGCGGAACGTGTTGCCATCTACCTCCATCAACGATGTGATATCTTGATGATTAGGATTACTTGTTTCTTCTTCGGGCTCATCTCGCTCCAAATCTCTGCCATCCCAGATATCTTTATCAGTTGCACAATATGAGTGGAGTTTATAATCACACGTCTTGTGATAAATACAAATATATCCACCGCATCCGGAAACAAACGACTGATAACAAAGTTGACATTTCGTGTTACCGTCAGGAACATGAAAAGTATGAAACAAGCGGTGTGAGTGACGGGTGAGCTTTATAACCTTTGGCAAATAGATGCAATTTTTGTGGATGAACAAGTTGCAGGGCAAGCATGCGTACATATTCATCTTGTACCCGTTGACTCTTCCGCAAGCATCACAGTTGAAAGAGTTCTTTTTGCGAATGAAGGTGAGCGTATGTTCATGCGTCTCTGGGCGATCTATTGTCAGATTCGACTCCATTAAAGTAGTTTGACATTCTTTGTGAAAATAGAAGTCACATACTCGACAATAAAAACAATTGGACTTAAATCATTGTGTAGTGACTACACGGCGTCGTATTAAGGAAAGGAAAACGCGCGAAAACGAAACCACCCCCGCTTTAATTTTTGTGTATCACGTGGATCGACTCTAACAACCGTTGATTATATCTCTTAAATCGACGGCCAACACACACTCATTAATATTCACTGGGACTGCGATCTACACATGAGATTGTAATGTACCATCACTATATAAACTCACTACTCTCTCCTCTTCTAATTCACAATATCAAATCAATTATCCCTTAGAGCAATTAATCCAATTTTTCTTGTTTGAATCATGTCTGGTCGTGGAAAGGGAGGAAAAGGTTTGGGAAAGGGAGGAGCCAAGCGTCACAGGAAGGTTCTCAGAGACAACATCCAAGGAATCACCAAACCTGCTATTCGTCGTTTGGCTCGTAGAGGAGGCGTCAAGAGAATCAGCGGTTTAATCTATGAAGAGACACGTGGCGTCCTTAAGATCTTCTTGGAGAATGTTATCCGCGATGCCGTTACCTACACAGAGCACGCGCGGAGGAAGACGGTGACGGCTATGGACGTGGTTTATGCTCTCAAGAGGCAAGGAAGAACCCTCTATGGATTCGGCGGCTAGGGTTTTAAAATTGTGTTGTCTTCTAAATTAAGCTGTTGATTTCAGAGTTTGGTGTTAAACACAGAAAACAACAAAAGTTAAGGATTGTAGTTGCAATATGGTTAAATAAATCAATGTTAAAAAATTTCTTGGTAGAGTTTGATAACCGGTTCGGTTTAATCATAACAACATTTCAAATTTGGTCTTTTACTTCAGAACATTAATTAAATGATTTGTCTTTTTTTTAATATCAGCAAATCATCTCCAATATTCTAGAGAGAACAAGAAGACGAAGTTTGGAACTAATTCTTTACTTTCCTTCCCCTGAGCTCACTCGTCGTGAAATTTGAATGATGAGAGCTCCGGGAAACGAAGACGCCGTCGTGATCCAAAATGGGAAAAAGGCGGGAGAGCCGCATGTTATTACTGTGAATTGTCCGGACAGGACCGGTGTAGGCTGTGATATTTGCAGAATCGTCCTCGATTTCGGACTTTATATCAAAAAAGGAGGTAAGATTTTGTTCCGGCAAGTTCATAGCCCCCACAATATGATTCATTAGTCCTTTTTCTTTCTTTGTGAATTTTGCTTACAAAAGTCTGAGTCTGATTTTTTTTTTGTTAGATGTTACAACGGATGGAGTATGGTGTTACATAGTTTTATGGGTGATTCCTCATTATGATCATCTCAAGTTGAGATGGTCACATCTCAAGACACAGCTTGTATCTGTGTGCCCCTCTTGCCCAACCTACTTCGTACTCAACTTGATGTCTCCTTCTCCCACTTCAACACCTGTTTACTTGCTAAACTTCTTCTGCCTTGACCGAACCGGACTCTTACATGGTACTGTCTTTTATATTGGGTTGCTTTCTCTTGTTAATGTTGTCTTGAATGTGTTTAAGATGTTTTTGCAGATGTTACTCAAGTATTAACTGAGCTTGAGCTCTCAATTCAGTCCGTTAAGGTTACCACCACGCCTGATGGGAGAGTTCTTGACCTTTTCTTCATTACAGATAACTTGTGAGTGAGTAATGCATATTCCAGATATCATGATTATCTAATTTATTATTTATTTTAGGTATTTATCGTGATTAATTAGAATTATCAGAGTACTCTCAATCTTGTGAACTGTAAATGAAGACATTGATTCTTAGGTATTTTTAGAGTAAATAAGAATGTTTGTATATACATCAGTGAGTTTAGACAATTTAGGGATCTTTTTTACACAACAATCTGGTGATTCTTATTTGTAGTACTGTTTACAATTTGTCTGCTCAAGGGATCTTTTAAACACAAAGAAGCGGCAAGAAGAGACACTAGAGAAGTTTCGTTCTGTCTTGGGAGAATCATGTCTAAGCTGTGAACTCAAGTTGGCTGGTTCTGAGTATGAATATCATCAGAACACTCCATCTCTTTCTCCACCAGTGGCTGAGGAGCTCTTTATGTCTGAGCAGCAGCTCACAGATGAAGAAGACAATCGCGCGCAGGCTCTTAGTGATGATATGATAAAAAAGCTGAAGAATTCCTCTGTTGTCACAGTTGACAACTCTTTCAGCCCGTCTCACACATTACTCCAAATACGCTGCGTTGATCACAGAGGCCTTCTCTATGATGTATTAAGAACATTGAAAGACTTTGACGTTAAGGTAAATGTCAAAACCATTATTAGTACAAAGCTTTGCTCTGTGACTATCTCTCAGTTTGTGTGCAGATATCTTATGGCAGGTTCTTGCCTCAAACACAAGGTTGTAAGGATATAGAGCTATTTGTACAGAGAGATGGGAAGAAGATGGTGGATATTGATGAGCAACGTTCGTTATGTTCACGTCTGAAAGCAGAGATGCTTCATCCGTTACGTGTCATAATTACAAACAGAGGACCAGACACTGAACTTGTGGTTGCTAATCCAGTTGAGCTATCTGGGAAAGGAAGGCCGAGAGTGTTCTATGACGTTACTCTTTCACTAAAAGTGCTTGGAATCTGCGTTTTCTCGGTAAGAGACAAATATTTTTCACAGAAATGTTAGAATTAGTCATTCATTGTCTGTTTTTTTATTATCTTGTCAGGCTGAAATAAGAAGATACAGGGCTAGTGACCGAGAATGGGAAGTTTACAGATTTCTTCTGGATGAGAACTGTTCGTTTCAGCTCGGTAGTGCTTCTGCAAGGAATGAGATAGCTAATAAAGTGAGAAGAACATTGATGGGTTGGTGAAGACGTGGTGTGCCTTCTATTGATGCGGCATCTAAATGCTTATATCCTTTTAGCAGTTAGTAAATCAGCAAAAGCTTATCGTCAGGGCTTAGTATCCCTTTTATGTTTATATCAAACTGATAGGTTCTTGTGCATGAGAGTGGTTTGAAGTGTCCACATTAGACCTTCACCTCCGATCATCATATGAGAGTACTTGTTATATGCATCTTGTATTTGGTTTGGGTAATCAATAAAGGAAGCTGTTTCAGATATATAAGTGCCATTTCTTGTTATGCTCTCTTTATCAAATCAAAAGCAGAACCAGACTAGAGTGGTATCAAGACTCAAAACGCGTGAGATCTTAGCTGGTTTGACTTACCCTTAACAACCTCACACTCTTGTGTTGTGGTCATGTTGATCAACCTTTAATGGCATGAATGCGACATCTCGTGCACACAAACGCCTACAATTGTTTCATATATTTATGAAAGCAACATTTAAAATAATACCACACCAAAAAGTGTTCATCTTCTTCAACACAACACATTTAGAAACTCAAAAATAGTGAAATCTGCATATAAAGATAGAACAAAGAAACAAACACAAGACACCAAAAACACCCATAAAATAAAGTTGTTATAGGTTCATACTCTTCACACCATAACTTTTTTAAAAAGTAACATCACTTTGAAATAATATTAGATCATACAAGGGATCTACATAAACTTGTATGGTGATTACTATTTTCTAGTTGGCACGGCTTCGGAAAACATCAAGATCCATCTCAGTAGGATCAGTAGCTTGAAGCTCAACTTGAATCCCATCAAGTTCCCTCTTAAACCTATCCTTAGAGCTAGCGTATATCATCTTACTCCTCACCTTCGCCGTATCAGGACACCTTTTCCCGCCAAAAAAAAACAAACATTAATCCGCATAACAAAATTTTCAAAAGAAAAAAACAAAACAAAAAGAGTTTATAATTACCAGGCGATGAAGAAGATCTTGCTCTTCTGGCAATTCTCAGCAGTGACGAAATCGAAATCATAAACGGCGTAACGGCATTCATCAGCAGGAAGAGTGGCGGCAAAGTCATCATAGGTTTGGATAGGTTCACCGACTTTCTCGACGACGACTTGCTTCTGCTTCTCCTCGATCTTGTAAACGACGAAACGGTGCGTTCGCTTCGTTTTGAGTTCTAGGAATCTTAGCTTGCAGTCGTCGTGCACTGCCATTCCTGATGCCGCGTTTGCCTGTTGAAATCCAAACAACAAAGATCATAGTCAAGGCCGGAGCTAAGATGTTGGGGGCTTAAAACATTTCTTAAGAACTCTAAAAATTTTGGGGGCCAATATATCAATGTTTAGGGGTTTATTCCTAGGTTAAATTTTTCTAAAACTTTTGGGGGCTAAGGCGAATGTTTGGATCGGCTGTGTCCAAATCCGGCCCTGATCATAGTTATTATTATTGTTATTGTCACACATCTATAATAATAATAGTATATGATTAGATTGTTGCATAGTTGATAATTATATCAATCTGAGATATTACATGATTAAATCAAAACAACTTTAACTTAAACGCTGCTTTGATCCTAGATTGTAAAAGAGATCTAAATCAGGAAGCGAAATCACATAAAATAACAAATATCAGAGATCTAGCGAAAGCACTAAGGGAGCTAAATCGGTAGTCGAAAGATTTATATCCGACACGAAACTGAAATATAAGATAGAGGAATTGAAAGAATAAAATTGAGCTTACCATCGCTGAAGAAGCACTCTAGTATTGCAAATTCGAACTTAAACGAAAGGAAAAAAGAAGGTATTTTCTTCGGGCGGCTACAATCGACGGTTTCTTTTCTTCAGCTTTTTTCGGCGAGACACATAGACAGCTTACCAACTTATATAAGATATTTTTTCTCAATAATTACCATCATTTTTTTTTTTAAATAGTTAATTTAAATGATAATTAGTTATGAATATTTACCATCTTTTTTTTTTGTTAAATAGTTAATTTAGATGATAGTTAGACGTCAACAATTTTTTTTTCGAAACAAATATAGACACATTTCAAAAAAGAAGTATACATACTACTTGGATCTAATGTTTTCCAATATATACTTGTAAATGAAACTGCATATCACTCGAAAATCTATAAACTTGATTATGTTTATTTTGTGTCACAAGTTTATTGTTGACTGTTTACAACAACAGCAAAAACAATGGTCATACTCGTCCTGAATAATTGGAGGAGAATGGTCATTCTTTATATACTTTGTCAAAAAACGGCCATGGTTTATATTTTTGGAACATATCTACTACTCTACACAGAAATGTTTTTTTAATTATGTATGTAATAATAGATAACTGAACGACATGCTAATTTGGTTTGTACATGAATCGGTTTCAAATTTTAAATACTCTGAATCTTGCAGACAGATCTACAAAGTTTCAGTATAAATTATTAATGCTTGTTTACTTTATCATAAAGCTTTTAGATCGAAAAAAGTCCCATGAGCTTATAGCTTTTAAGAGCCAAAGGCATGGAATGTTTTGTTAAAAATAAAATGTATAGGTATAGAAGGTTAACGAAAAAATGAAAATTTAATAGATACTTTAGGGGGTCGGTAATGACGTAATGGAGATAAATAATTACATGAAAATAAAAAAACAACGGCCAATAAAATAGACAAAAATGATATATTCCATCTTGGAAAATGAACGTAGACTTTTATGTATTTAAGGAGTATGTTAATTGGCATCGAATATGTATGCCTTTTTTGAAAAAGAAAAATAGAATTCAAATGAAAGGTCCATGACACCAAATGGCGCTTTCGGCATCTCTCGGTTGGCTCCACCGTACGCTCACTTTTCATTAAAACCGTGATGGAAACTAGCGGTGGGGAGCTGGTAACTTCCAATAAAACATTGTCACGTGGAAATTGGTGGCGTTTAAAAAACATCAACCCTAACTTTGCATTCTTAAGCCTCACCACTTTTAAAGTTTACAGCCCATTAGTTCTACAAGGCCCAATCTTCATAGGCCAGATTGATTAAAAAAATGAAAACGCACGGTTTTACAAAGAAGGCTGAAGCAATTCTCACAAAATGCATGTGTTTCATTGTGGAGCTGATGATCTCAGCTAAATTATGTAACGAAGTCTACACGGTTAACGTTTCAATGCAGAATTACACATGGTCCTCCGCTTTCTTACTGTTCATATTGGTTGTCACTTCCTCCATGTTCTTGGCAACTTCAACAAATATTAGTCTACCATCTACAATCTGAAACCAGAGAAACAACAAACAATATAACCAAATCAAACATCAGTCCATTTATGAAGAAACTCAATTACGTTATTACTTCACACTGAAAGAAACCAAATTCCATAAAGCTTCACAGTTCAGACCCTAGTCGGCATTTTTTACGGTGAATTGTATTAAAGTCAATCAAAATATAAATATCACTAACAAGAGGATTAAGTTTGAGACATTTGTGACATCATGAATCCATAACAAGTTTAATCACTGATTAGCATATAAACAACAAAACTAGAAACCTATTGAAAGAGTTAAATGGAGAAGCTCAATTGGATCTTCTCACCTTCCCATCCAACCTTTTTAACGCCTTTTGGGCATCATCCTCAGATTCGAATGTAACAAAACCAAACCCTTTTGGTCTCTGCGTTTCTGGATCCCTGATCAGCCGAGCTAAATAAACCCACCCACAAGAACACAAATCAGTCAAGGAACAAAAAGAATCATAATCGACTCTTAAGAACATATTGAACCTTGTTTGATTTGGCCGAAAGAAGAGAAGAGTTGCCTCAGAGATCGTTCTGTGGTGTAAGCAGATAACCCTATACACAAGAACAAAATCTAAGACAATGTAAACAGAGGAAGAATCTAATCAGAGAATATCATTTATCTTACTGCTTACGAACAGCTGAGCTGAGAATCTATTTGCCATCTCAAACAGCAAAAATAGGATCAAAGTTCACAAGTGCGACAATTTTATGGGGTAAAAAGGCAAACGACGACGTTTCATTAAAAAGACATAGGTAAATGCAAACGACGGCGTTTCATTTAAAGAGACAACCTTGGGTTAGCCAAGAACGGTTAAACAAACCAAGAAACTTGATAACGGATAAATAGATTGGTTTTGCTTTAATTCGTCGAAATAGATTGGTTTGATTTGATTACATCGAAACACGAAAAAACAAGAACATAAAAATCAAGAAAACCCTAATTTCCCAACGCCGTCACCAAATTAAGAACTAGTGAATTTCGTAACGGCCTTAGTTCCTTCAGACACAGCATGTTTCGCTAACTCTCCAGGAAGCACAAGCCTCACAGCGGTCTGAATCTCCCTGGAAGTGATGGTAGGCTTCTTGTTATACCTAGCGAGCTTCGACGATTCCTGAGCGAGCTTCTCGAAGATATCGTTAATGAAGCTGTTCATGATCCCCATGGCTTTGCTTGAGATCCCGATATCTGGATGAACCTGCTTCAGAACCTTGAATATGTAGATCTTGTATGTCTCCACGCTCTTCTTCGATTTCTTCTTCTTCTTCTCGACGACGCCGGCGCCGGCTTCCTTGGGGAGCTTCTTCCCGGCTTTGGGAGCTTTCTCCTCTGCTGGTTTCTTCTCGGCCGGCTTCTTTTCTGCCTTGGGTGCCATTCTTGAAAGTTTTGAAGGGTGAAGAGGTGAGAGTTAGTTAACTTGGGAAGGTTAAAGAATGTGTGTTCTTCTAAATAAACGCCGAGTGGTATATATACGATAATAAGAAAGATTCTTATTGGTCAGTAGATAATTCGCAAGGATCGATGACGTGGAGGTTTAATGTGCCGTTAGATTAGACTAATACGTCAGTACAGCGAATGGTATAGATTTTCCTTTTCTAAGAGTGTTACTTTTTAATTGGGCCAGATTAAAATATATATATCTATAACGGGCTACAGTAAGCCCACTAAAGTAATGAACTTAATAATGTAAATCGTATGAAAAAAAGTTCCAATAAAACCAAGAACCCGAATTTTGTTATGCCTTTGTAGTTTGTAGCTCTACTTTTCATTTTGAACGAGGGACGTATGAGAGGGTGATACCGAGTTTAAGGTTAGAGAATCTCCAGGAAGTTTGATGATGTTGATGAGCACAGGCCTGGTAAGATCGTTGTTGAGCTAAAGGGAAGGCTTAACAAATGTGGTGTTATCAGTCCTCGTTTTGATGTTGGTGTTAAGGAGATTGAGGGTTGGACCGCTCGTCTACTTCCTTCCAGACAGGTTCGTCCACAGACAACTATCTTGTACTTTTTCAATCATGTTTCTTTGTTTCTGCTTTTGGAAGTAATCTTTATTACTTCAAATTGGTAGAAGATCTTACATTGTGAAACCAGTACCGGTCCTGACATGGGAAAGACCAGAAGCAATTTTCTAAAAATTGGCCGTTTTTATAAGAATTTTTATATACTATAATAATAATTTTCTTATAAAAAAGGCTGAATTTTTCAAATATCTTTTGAGGGCCGGAAGCGGTTGCTTGTAATGCTTCCCTTCAGGGCCGGTACTGTGTGAAACCCTCCCTTTTTTTTTTCTTGCAAATAATATTAAGTTGTTCCTGTTAGGGTTTAGTCGAGTTTTAAGTTGTCATGACTCTTTGATTAACCTAACCTTGCAATTTTATAAGTTAATTAGTTGACAAACGTTTTTATGTGCAGTTTGGTTACATTGTTCTGACCACCTCTGCGGAGATCATGGATCACGAAGAAGCCAGGAGAAAGAATGTTGGTGGCAAGGTTCTTGGCTTTTTTTACTGAAGCAGCTTCACCTTGGAAAGTTAGATTGACCTCACTGTTCAAATACTAGTTTTTTCTTTTCTTATTCTTGTTTTTGACTCGTCAATTAATTGCTATATGTGGTTGCTCAGATGCTTAAATACTGTGGATAAATTGACAAATTGATTTCAGTTTTTCGGTTGGGAAAGACTTTAGCGAGTCATGAAGCGGGACATTGAATGTTCGTTACGAAACTTCCACTAACTCTAGACCGAAAAAGACCCGACAATATAAAGTTCCTCTTTTGTGTTAAACGTCTTGATTCTGACTTTATGTATTCAGAAATTTTAAAGTTTGCCGACAAAAATGTTGTCGAAATCAGCTTTTATGTCACGGACTTTTCTTGAATCAAAATGTGTGGTTTTAGCACATTTCTACTCTGGGGTGATTGTTAAGTAGTTTTCAACCAAAACTTACACGTGGCTCGTAGAGAAAAGATTTACGAAAGCTTTTAAATGAAGTGTTTTTTATGATTTCTTTGAAGGTGTACAAATGAGGCTCTCCCCCTTTTATATTTAAGTTCACCTCTTCAATTAAAAATGTTTTGGTGAGTCTGACTCCAATGGTAAACATGTGGAATTAACTGTGGTGATATGACAATCACGCGAGTTAAATTTGACAAATATAATAACCTATCTCCTTTATTGAGTTATCATGGTACAGTATATTTGACAGCTTTCCAATATCATCCCTTATATATTAAAAGAGAAGCATTTTGCATTAAATGCGTTCACATTGAATTTGAGACAATGCTGACGTGTCACTTTCAGAATGCTTCTCACAAAAAATATTGCCAAATTCATAAACCAGATTATCTAACTTTCCATATTTCGTGTCTTGACATATAAAGAGACCCAACTACGAAAGAATCTCGGCCAAGTTTACGTGTCATAGTTTTTTCGCACTTTCTCACAATTCTCTTGCGATGATTCATCTGTAACAAAGAGACCAACTACGCCATGTGATCCTCAAAAAGATCGAGATAAGTAAATCGAAGAATGTATCTCTCATGGAGGAAAGTGTCGTTCAGTGACTTCGCGAGACAAAGACGAGAAACTCGAGATGAAAAAACTCGACTTAAGCGGTATAGGAAGCACGGTGATTGGAGTAGAGAGAACACTGAAAGGACTACTCGATGAATTAATAGTCAGCGAGGGTGTACAAGCTCGTATGGATGGCATCATGTTTCAGCAACTTGGCCGAGATTCTTTCGCAGCTCCTATCATTGATCTTCTTAAAGATTACCTCAGCTCTCTGCGATGATTCCGTTACAAGGATACGTTATTTATTAAAGACTTTCATCAATGTGAACCTGCTGTGTCTCTCTCTCAGTTTCAAACCTTAGCAATTATCAGTTTTGCATAATCTCGAACATATAAATATGAACCTGCTGTGTCTCTCTCTCAAACAACAATAATGAAAACCTCAGTGAGCACCATCGTCTTCTTCCTAAGAGCTCTCTCCATTTCAGCTATCTCCTTATCCAAGGAGAGCCCTGTGGAGGGTTGCATTAATAGAAACATTGCCCAAGCGCTCACTTCTTCTCCTTCAGACAAACCCACAAACCCTAATCTCAACCTTGAAGACGAGTTATGCAAAGACGAGACACAAATTGTCAGGTACTTCTTGGAACTGAACGGTAAGTTCCCACGTCACTACCTCAAGGCAATGTGCAACATTTTCGGAAACAACGAAGCAAAAGTGAAGGACTATGTTACTACCAAATGTGGATTATTACGTGTTTAACTAGGAGTGTCAAAGAGAGTTGTCTGTAAGATTGAAGATATACTACTACTTATTATCATATTCACGTGCATGATTGTACATGGTCCCTAACGATATTCATATTTATGAGAAAGCATGGTCACTAACGATCTTCGTCTTCACAAAGAAACCTATTTGACGTATCTTTACTGGAAATATATATAATGCAAGTTTCTTGTACAAAGCATGAACTTCCCAATATGTATTTGACGTATTTTGTTTAAACCGAGAACTCCTTTTTTTATATTTGGTTAAACCATTTGGTTTCGACTACTCTGATATTGAATCGACTACTCGGATAGAACCGTTGGTTTCGACTACTCTGATATTGAATTGAAACGGTTAATGTTTTCTTGGCCGGTTCGCAGTATTTGAGTGTTTGGCAAGGTTTATTAATGATTATAGGATATTTTCATTTATTTAAAAAGTTTGGTTTATGGCAATATTGACATTCTTGTGGTCGAAGTAAATTACTGACCAAGGCAAAGATATTTACATTTAATTATCTTGTGGTTTAAGTCCCCTATATAATAAACGTTTGTTCTCATCATTAGAACTCATAACCTAAACGAAAACCCAGACATTCTTCACTCATCTTTCTCTAATGGCTGCGATTACTGATGTGTCAGATTTGAAACCGTTCAAGTCTATGTGGAAAATTAGGGTGAAGATCATTCGTTTGTGGAAGCAGTATTCTACAGCCGGTGGAGATACAATTGAGATGGTTCTAATCGATGAGAACGTAAGCATCCTTTACTCTTCACGTTAGTAATATTTAGTATGTTTAATGAACCATCTAATTTTTGACTATATTTGTTGGTTTTTGTAGGGTGTTAAGATTAATGCTACTGTGAAAAAAGATCTGGTTAATCAGTTCGATTCATTCCTTTCACAAGGAAGTTCAAAGATTCTCATCAACTTTTCACTGAACCCTTCTTGTGGATCGTACCGAACAACCATACATCCATACAAAATTGGTTTTCTGTCGACAACACACGTGAGGAATTGTGATGATTTGTCCAATGCTCTAACTGGTTTTGAACCAGTTAACTACAGGGACATTCTTGATGATACACTCAGTACGGACTATTTGGTTGGTAAGTTACATAATTCCGGTGTTTTCATTTAATATACGAATGTATAGTCAATGATATAACTCATATATTTTTGTCTCAGATGTTATAGGTCAGATTGTTGAGGTGACTCCTATTGAAGTTGTATCAGCTAATGGTAAAGAAACTCATAAACTGACAGTGGAGCTTCGTAATGCAAAGTATGACTCTCTTTATATTGTCTGATTATTCATGATAGCAGACGTGATGACAATGATCTAAGATATACATGTTTGTAAATGATTTTAGGGATGAAGTTATTCTATCTAATTATTGATTGAAGTTTTTTTTATATAATACCTATTTATATTTAGACCATTCTTTGTTTTTGGAAGAATGAGATTATGCATCTTTATTATAATGGAATTGAGTTTATTTTATTTATATTAGATTTCTCTATCTTCTTTAATCTAGAGACTTACCATAGTGAGGAGGAGTTTTAGCAGTATTTGAGTAGTTTTGTTTAAAATACTTGGAGTACTTATATAAAACAGAGGCACTAGATATATAAAATATTTTGATTGAATTATAATTTCACATTCATTCGAAATAAATTACTATGTTTTTAAAAAGTCTTTACTATTGCATTATATAAATGGATGCCGAAATTAAGAAAAATGCTATAAAATAATAGTTTAAAATTAGATAATGGAGGTATTACGAAATTAAATAGTAGAGAAGAGTAAATAAGTGTATTTTATTTGGTTAAAAATATTTAATGAAATATTGTTTAATGAATTATTTATTTATATTTTACAATAAATTTGATTTGATATAAGATGACACTAAATAATTAATTTTAGTCATTGTGTTATCATTATAAAATCAAAATCGCAATTTAACCAAAAAAAATATTTAAAATATGAATATATAATTGGACGATATTAAAATCCAAAACAACCAATCCAAAACAAACTAATATGCAATTAAAACAGATATAATGTCTTCTTATCTTTAAAAATACAATAAATTTAATCATTTCTTCCCGCGCAAGGCGCGGGTCTAATCCTAGTTTGATTGTACTATTGAAGAATGAAGACGGTACTTGGGGATGCCAGCTCAGCATCCCAAATGGCTTATCGAATATCCACTTGAGATGAAGACAAGTTGGTCCAGCTAATCTGATTTTGATTAAAGTAATTAATAAAGGGGCCCATAAGGCTTCGTGCCTTAAAAAGCCTTCTAAAAGAGAAAGAATCCTTCTCTCTTTCTGTGCGCACTCCTATTCGGTTACAGTGGTGGTAACGTGCGCGTGGTATCCTATCGTGCACGCGAAGCCGAGACGAAGAAGAAGTAAGAAGCGGGGGGTATCTAAATCGGGAGTGGCGCATTATAGCAGTCCGCCACATCCTTCGTTGTCGCTCGTCTCTTCTTCCTTTCCATCCGGTAAAATGTTTTCTTCTTTCTCGCCAAATTTTTATTTTATTTTTTTTGATGTATTGGATGAAACAATGATGTGTGTGTTTTGATCTCTCTTCTCGTTTGTTAGAATATCGATGGCAGCTCCACCAGCTAGGGCAAGAGCCGATTACGACTATCTCATAAAGCTTCTTTTGATTGGAGATAGTGGTTTGTCATCTCTTTATTTTTCTATTGAAAATCGATCTATTTAATTAGTGTGATGATCGTTTCTGCTGTGATCGATCGTTCCGATGAGATTTTGTATTCCTTTGTTTGTTTTGTGTGTGTGTTTTCAGGTGTGGGTAAAAGTTGCCTCCTCCTACGTTTCTCTGATGGTTCCTTCACTACTAGCTTCATCACCACCATTGGGTTTGTCTTTTCTAAATCAATTCATTTCATTTAACCTATCAAATTCATCTATTTATCTTTTTGATGTTTGTAGCATTGACTTTAAGATAAGAACGATTGAGCTAGATGGCAAACGTATCAAGCTCCAGATTTGGGACACTGCTGGCCAAGAACGCTTCCGCACCATCACCACTGGTCCGTTAAGGAGACATGAACCAACAACACCTATTTTAACTAATTTCTGAAAACAGATATTAAATATTCTTTTTGCAGCTTATTACCGTGGCGCAATGGGCATTTTGCTTGTGTATGATGTCACAGACGAGTCCTCCTTCAACAGTAATATCCCTTCCCTTCCCATTCATTCATCAACTCTGTAACCAAATTGATTATTTATTTATTTTACACATGCAGACATTAGGAACTGGATTCGTAATATAGAACAGCATGCTTCAGATAATGTTAACAAGATCTTGGTTGGGAACAAGGCTGATATGGACGAAAGCAAGAGGGTATGTATGTATGATCTTTATTTTTTTAATCTCAGTTCAGGATTCAACTGACTGTTTTTCTAAAGTAATTAAAAATGGGTACTTTCAGGCTGTACCTACAGCTAAGGGTCAGGCTCTTGCTGATGAGTACGGTATTAAGTTCTTCGAAACAGTTAAGTCTATTCAATTATAATATAACACACAGCTTGCTCTAAACTAAACTCCCATTTGCTTACGTAGTAACTATATGCGTCTTTTGTTTCAGAGTGCTAAGACAAACCTAAACGTGGAAGAAGTTTTCTTCTCGATAGGGAAGGATATAAAGCAGAGGCTTTCTGACACTGACTCCAGAGCAGAGGTTTGTTTCACTTTCACTCTCTCTCTCTCTCTCTGCCTCCTGGGTTCTATATGCAGGAGTCTGAATACGCATCTTTTGTTCGTCAATTGCAGCCTGCGACTATCAAGATAAGTCAGACAGACCAAGCAGCTGGAGCCGGGCAAGCCACACAGAAGTCTGCATGCTGTGGAAGTTAATAAAGTTTTTGAAATTCAAGTAAAAACCAAAATACATAAAAGATTTCGTGAGGTGCCTGTGTAATTTTTCTTTTATTCCAACCTTCCTAGTTCCTTCTGAACTCTGCATTTCCCTATTTGTATGAAGGTTTAATCAAAACTTTTACTTCATTTCATGTTGCAGAAAATTACTGTCCTAAGACGAATCATAAACAAAACATTGATAGTAAATTATTAGAACAATGAATTGATGCTACAAACAAAGCATACCATTACACAAGTAAAAAAAACCAAACTATCTTTTAATTCAACTCAAGAAATGTCCGCACGATCAAGCATATCAATCAAAGTCATCTTCCTAGGAAACCGAGGAGGAAGCCTCAAGATCATAGCATCATCAATCTCAATAGGAAGATGCGTCGCAACAATCACAATCCCACCTTTCTTCCTATGCTCCCCAATAACATACTCAAGCAACCTAACCCCTTCATCATCCAACGCCACCGACGGCTCATCCAAAAGCCAAATGGGCCTATCAATCGCCAAAAGCCTCGCGAGCTGCAACCTCTTCCTCTGTCCCATCGACAACATCCTCGACTTCTCCTTAACCAACCTCCCTAACCCCATCAACTCCAACGCCGGCTGAGCCTTCCCGATTTTATTCTCTAAAAGCTCGAACCATTGCACGTTGTCTAAGACAGTGAAACGCTCTTTGATGGCGTCTTTTAGAGAGATCCAGTTGAGTTGGAGTTTGTATTGTTGGAAGATTCCTGATTTCGTTATGTCGTGTCCGTTCCAGAGGATTTCTCCAGCGGAAGGTTTGGAGAATCCGGCGAGCATTCGGAGGAACGTTGATTTGCCTGAGCCGTTGGTTCCGGTTAAGACGAGTGCGCCGCCGTCGTGGAGAGATACGTTGACGTGGCGGAGGATTTGTTGTGCGTTTCTCATACATGAGACGTTTCGGAGAAGGAGCCGTGGGGTTTGTGGAGACATTTTTTTGTTTTTTGGGACAAGATCTGAAATAAGCAAAGGAAGCTCTTTAATTACAAGACAGATCTCGAATCGGTTCCAAACCAGAAAAAACATTACTCTAGGAAAACCCTAGAACTTTGTTATTATCTGATTAAATTTAATTAAAATGGAAATAGAGAGAATCAAACTTACCAGTGAATCTCCTCGCTGCGCTTTTGGAGTGAAGAAACAAACGATCACCTCTCCGACAGAGAGATGACTATACTCGGGAGCCGATAAAAGACTTTAGAGGTTTTAACCGGTTTATGGCACAATCGGTCCAACCGGGTTTAAACACAAACCGAGTTAATTTAATGTTAAAAGTTTAAACATTTTCTAAAATTTTCAATTTTCGAAATTTTTGTTACTTTTTGGAAGCTTTATAAGATTTTAAGTAGTAGCTTCAGATGGCCTGTCTGAATTACTCATGGAAGTTGATAAGCTGCTAAGCAATTATGATCACATTATTTTGCTTGGTGTTGTTACGGGGTTATGGCCAGAGATTAAAGTGCTCATCAACAAACCACTGATTGCTATTATAATCACAAGCTTCAGCATCGCAATGATTCATAGTCTGCAAATACAAAAGCTTGTCTCAGTCTACCCTTTAACAAAACTATTCATCCATTTTATTTATGTCTGATTTTACATCTTCACGTGGTTTCTGCCAGATATCACATCTTGTTAGATGATTCTTCTATTATTGGTTCTTTAGTCTCTTCAATCATTTCATCTTCTGATTCTTTATTTATGGTTCCGCAAATTGGACATGTATGTTGTTCTCCAAACTTGACTTCAAAAGTTCATAAAATATTTCTCTCGCCAAGATCTTGAGAGATCTTTATCCACATTCTCTGAAGAGAGAACATTTCCACTAGAATTTATTTTTTTGAGCGAAGTTCTTTTTTGGGATTCAGTTTCAGAAAAGAAGATCTTTATCCTAACCGTCTTGCATTCTTATATGAAGGTTTGTTTGAAACCCTTAGATGCAGTGAGGTTCATTTCGATGAAAAATTCAAAATGATGGACTTGTATTCAAAGCCACATGATAAGTTGGGTCTTCAAAAGTTGGCTGAAGAGATTAAAGTGAGATTGTTCTCCTTTTCTAGTGTAATGCTTGGCTTTTTAGGCATGTCTTTAGTTGTATTATCAAACTCTTTTGAGTTTATGTCTCTATCCTTTTATCTTCTCTTTGTGTTGTTGAAGTTTTAAATTTGACTATTCGGATTTGTTTGAAAGAGCTTATTTGCTTTGTAGTATCTTAAGTATGAATGAAAGTAATTGGTTGCACAAAAAAAAAATAGTAATATAGAAACTTATTACAAGTGGTCTCTCTCAATCTTTGAGCAAAAAAAGTCCTTTTTTCCCACTTAATCGAAACTTCACCTTTGTCCACTTAAAGGTTTCAGACTACATATTCAGATTTTGTTTTATCTTACGTCTCTTTGTTATTCTGTTAATGATTTCTTTGTTTTTTTGTTGTGTATGTTTAATATTTTGTTTTTTTTTGGGATTCTTCAAATACTTATTCGGTGGTGGAAATCAAATAGCTTAAATCAAAATAGAGAAGTCATATTAAGAAAATAAAAGATTACTTCCATAGTATGTGGAGGTCACTGATATTTGTAAATAGTTACTAGATTTTGACCCGCGCTTCGAAAGCGCGGGTTTTTGTTAGATTATAAATAAATTTTGATATGATTTAGTATTTTAGAATTGATGTACATTATTATGCTACAAATCTTATTATATAAAATAGATTTTTTTGAAAAATTATGTAATTTATAAATTAGTTTATTTGAGATTTTATATGTAAGTTTTTAATGTAACTCNTTACTAGATTTTGACCCGCGCTTCGAAAGCGCGGGTTTTTGTTAGATTATAAATAAATTTTGATATGATTTAGTATTTTAGAATTGATGTACATTATTATGCTACAAATCTTATTATATAAAATAGATTTTTTTGAAAAATTATGTAATTTATAAATTAGTTTATTTGAGATTTTATATGTAAGTTTTTAATGTAACTCTCTCTAGGTCTTGACATTTTATCCGGATCCAAAAACACGACCAAACCGACCCGAAAATATAGGTTCGGTTAGGATCCATGATAAAGTACTTACTGGCTATCTTTAAAGACCCGCAGGAATCGATTCTAGTATGGATCATAACCGAGACCCGATCGGGTACATAAAAGTACTCAAATTTTTTTATTATATATGTTTGGATATTTCATATATGTTTTTGGTATTATGTATATTCTTTTAAGTTTTAGTTACTTAGTTTTCGGGTTCTACAATATATATATCTCTCTATATATATATATATATATATTATTTTTTTGGATATTCAAATCAAAGTTTTGGGTATATTTTGTTTTCGAGTCAGATTAGGTAAAATTCAAGGTTTTCAGATATTTGAATATATTTTGAGTATTTATTTATGGTTTGAAGTATTTTTCAAATATTTTTCGGGTTTATTGGTACTTTGAGTCCTAACTATCCAAACCTACCCGCTACATATCTGGAAATTAGAAATTACCACACTNGGTTTGAAGTATTTTTCAAATATTTTTCGGGTTTATTGGTACTTTGAGTCCTAACTATCCAAACCTACCCGCTACATATCTGGAAATTAGAAATTACCACACTGGAAATACATAGAAATTAGATTATTCATGAAAATATTGAAATTATAAGTTACAATCTTTCACGAGTCTAGATATCTTTTTAAACAAAATTAATGTTGTAAAATAGTTTCTCTAGAATAATAAATCATTAATTTTATAAATTGTTTGTATAAATATCCCCAAACATTAGAATACTATGATAATAAATCGGTTTTTGTATTATTACCATATACTATGTTATAGATAGGTTTACTCTAAAAATAATAATATGTTTGGTTTTAAACATATTTATCGTGAATGGAGGTGTTCAATATATTTTATACTCTCTATTTATCAAACATCAGCTAGAAAATGAATCAATGGAAATGATAGAGGGTACTGTTGCACAGTTGGTGGCTCAAGCAAATGATATAGTTTTTGTATAATGTGTGAAATCAGTCACATATTATGAAATTATATGGTATAAGGTTATAATAATGTATTGTGGAGAAATAAAAATATTGACCGATAAGAGTAATGTATAATAAATAAGAATATTGACTAATTTATTGTTAGAGAAATATAAGGTAAGTTATATGATATAATGTTATTGTATAATATTGTTAGAGAAATATAAGGAAAGATAAAAAAATGTTAGTATAATGAAAGGGTCCAAACAACTTTTTTAAGTAGATTTATTTAGACTCCTTCTCTTTTAATAGTATAGATAATACGTTTATGAAAAAGATGATACATAATTCGTGTACATTACGTATTATACGCTATGTAAATGTTACTACTGTATAAATGTATCTTGTACTTTTATAACGCACACAACTTAATAACATATCAGTTTTACAATATTTATTTGTTGTATAGAAGAAAAACGTAAATAATCTACATATCTGTCGGCACAGTGACGTATTTGACCAAAGAATAACGATGATGCCATGCGTATTACGATGGTTGTGGATTTTCATGTAGCCGTCTCCATCTTGGAAATAACGTAATTCTCGTTTCCATTTCGGAACATCATTCACGCAATCTCAGATTCTGCATAGAATTATATTTGCTTTGTCTAGAAGTGGATATATTCAAGGAGACGACCGCTTACCCTGTGATCTCTTCTATGCATGTGCTGCTCTGTTTTTCTCTTAACTTCTGCTTTTATTTCCCTTGCAATTCTTTGTCTTCTTTCATTTTTTTCTATACACAACTCGGATTCTTTTATTTATATATGAAAGCCATTAAGAAAAGCAGCTAACATCAGTCCAAGTTATAGGTTTGAAATGCTGATTTTAAAATCCCAAGTAATATTGGTCGAATGTTTTCTCTCTTTTATCGTTTAAAATTCTTCTTAAAAATGTCAAAATTCATTACTGGCCCACATACTTTTCAATAGTAACAGGTTCGACCCTGAAGTTACGGTGAAAAAGATGTAGAGAAGGTATTGAATCAGTGACAAATAGTAAAGTTACTTTTAGACATGACTGAAAAGTTTGTTGGAGTTAAGCCTTTAAAAAAAAAGGAAAAACATTCGGAGTTCAAAAGTGTTGAACCGGCTGAATTTATATAAATCTTTTCAGTTAAAAAAATAGCTGAACATAAAGAGTACAAAAAACTGAATAAGGTAGTAGTATTAGATTTTCCAAGAGATGTGACAATTTGGGTATGTGGACAAAGCGTCCCAAAGTTGAAATTGAAATCTTGCTAGAATACGTAAAAAGTATGTGAGTTAATGGTTAAGGAAATGACTGTAGGACTGTGGAGTTGGATGGTAATGCTTAAAAGGAATCTGAGAAATTAACGGAAAAGATTGACAAGTTGGTTCAAGAACCAGGACTATATAATTCCCATGAACAGATACAGAAAATATGAAGTAAGTTTTACAGGGTGGTAACAATGAGTATGGATTGTAAGCTAAGTCTCTCAAAATCACAAAATGAGCTAACGGGCTCTATTGCTAGAGTCTAGCTTTGTATTGCTTTATGGGCTCTTCTTTAGTAAAACTTTCTACTTAATCAATCATTCAGTTGCACAGAAAAAAATACCTCTTTTACTTTGTGTATAAATTGAAAATCTTATCCAAGCTGCCGACAAACAGAAGACCCCAAATTCACCTATTAAGTAGAAACCTTTCGTAATTACCTTTCAGCTTTTAGATGCGAGGAAAGACCATAAAACTCTCTTACATAGACGTGGGATAACAATTATGAACGCGCTTCCACCAATCTTGGTAACTTATTTAATCCTATAAATCATTTATTAAAAACAAGCTATTTTTTGCTAACAAAAGCTATTAAAGTATTAACTTGAGTATTACATCAACCAATCTTTGCCAGCCATTAGAACAATATTAATATATCAGTTGCGGTGTCTTGCTAGCTAATATTTAAGAATAATGTCACAAGGAGAATTAGTGGGATCGTATTATTTCCAATTAATAATGATAATGTGTCATGTTCCATATGGTTGTATAATGGAGTGGTTGAATCATTCTCTTAAATCTTGGAAGCCTAAAAAGATATCCATACATTCAAATAATTACTTCATTTCTATATTTTGAGAAATGTTTGACATACTGAACTCAGCAAGTCTTTACGAAAAGTAAAAGACCAAGATTTAGTTCGAGTAGAGACGTAAATAAAATTCTTATGTGTTGTGTTAATATTCAAAATTTGAAGAAAAGAATACAGTTCTTCCATCAGAATAAGAAATCATAAATATATATGTTTTCTTTATATTTTTGGGACGACAAATATATGTATACTGTGAACGCGGCCCGAAAAAGCTTTCGTGAGCACAAGTGATATCTGCGTCTTTGTCAAAAAGATTAAAATAACACTCAAAATTTGCAAAAAAAAAACAAATCGGCAATAAAAGTTTGACTTTATTGTAATTTGCAAACCACCACCATTAGACACCTGAAAACAAAAAATGGAAAATAAAAAAAAGTCGTAACATTTTTAAAAATAAATTATAAATATATATAAATATCTGGACATGTATTTAACTATTTTCCTGCAAATTTTAAACAATATTTCGATAATAAGAGAAAAAAAGAAAACAACTTTTTCAACATATTAAATGCGACGAACATGTACGTTTTCTAATCATTTTCTGGAAATTCCATTTTTCTCTTTCTTCCTAACCATTAATAAAATAAAAAAAATACAGCCAGAGAAAATCCCATCTATTGACAAATTTTATTTTCATTTTTCCATCTTCTTTCTCCTTCTCTCTTAAGGAAGAAATACTCAGTTAATGTTTTTGCAGAGTTGATAAAAGAATCAAACCTCTCCTGTTACCAGTCTGTTCTTTGCTGGAACCTTCTCTCTTTTCCAAGTACAGTTTTGTAATATTATCACTTATACAAAAACAAAACAAAAAACTCAAAATCTGAGTTTTCAGTTTCTTGATCTATTCATTAACCTCTGATCCATCCTTTCATGGGACCGTTACTTCCCCTGGATTTCTAGTCTTAAAAAAGGTAACCTTTATCATTCTCTCTGCTTACTTGATCTTAGAAAGTTACCATTTCTGCTCAAGTCAAAAAAAAAAAAAAAATTACCATTTTTGCTGTTCATATGAGAAACCCTAATCAAATCTTTCCCCCCGTTCAGGTTCTGATTTGTTAGTTCAAGATGGGTGTTCAAAAGTTAGTAACTGTGGTCTTGCTTTCAACCTTGTTCTGCATCTGCCATGGATTCACACCTCAAGACAACTACTTAATCAACTGCGGCTCACCGACCAACTCATCCCTCACGGACCGTGTCTTCATGTCCGACAAACTCGCCTCGAACTTACTCACCTCTCACAACCAAGAGATCCTCGCGAGTCAAAGCACCAGCAGCTCAGACATCTACCAAACCGCCAGAGTCTTCACCGAAGTCGCCACCTACAAATTCTCCATCACTCGTGGCCGTCACTGGATTCGTCTCCACTTCAACCCCTTCACTTACCAAACCTACCAAATGAATTCAGCCAAATTCGCAGTTTCTTGGCAGAATATTGTTCTCTTAAGCGACTTCAACGTCAAGAACAGAACAGTGAAAGAGTACTCATTGAATCTAAACACCAACGATCTCGTCCTCACGTTTACTCCTTCTAGTGGCTCCTTTGCGTTTATCAACGCCATTGAGGTTATCTCCGTGCCTGACTCGTTGATCAGTTCTTCTCCTGCTCCTAGAGTAGTAGGGGGCACGTTTCAGGGGACCCTCTCATCGCAGGCTTTCGAAACCCTTCATAGACTAAACATGGGCGGTTCTCTCGTCACTCCTAACAACGATTCTCTCACGAGAACTTGGAAGCCTGACTCGGAGTTTCTCATAGGGAAGAATCTAGCTAAAACCGTGTCTAAAATCCCAAGTGTTAACTTTGTTCCAGGGTATGCAACAGAGGAGACAGCTCCGAAATCTGTCTACGGTACTTGCGTTGAGATGAACTCAGGGGAAGACGTCACTGCCAACTTCAATGTCACTTGGGAGTTCGTGGTTGATCCGGGTTTTCAGTACTTTCTACGGTTCCATTTCTGCGATATAGTCTCCTCGTCTCTCAACCAGCTCTACTTCAATCTTTATATTGACTCAATGCTCGCTACCGCGGATATTGATCTTTCGATTTTCGTGGATAACACGCTCGCTGGTGCGTACAACATGGACTTTGTTTTACCGACGCCGAAGAGCAGTGACAAAATGCTTGTGAGTATCGGTCCGTCAAGCGTTCACGCTGATTATCCGAACGCGATTATGAATGGATTGGAGATTATGAAGATGAATAACTCTAAAGGTCAGCTAAGCGCCGGGGCGTTTGTCCCCGGAGGTAGTGGTGGTTCCAGCAGTAACCATAAGAACCTTGGGTTGATCGTAGGTGCTACCGTTGGTCCGTTGCTAGCGTTACTCCTCTTGGGAGGTTGCTTTGTGTTCTGTAAGAAGCAGAGGAAACGCGGACAAGACGGTTACTCGAAGACTTGGATGCCGTTTTCGATTAATGGTACTTCGGTGGGGAGCAGAGGCTCACGTGGAACGACGCTCACGAGTATCACTACGAATGCTAACTACCGTATCCCCTTTGCGACGGTTAAAGACGCTACGAACAACTTCGACGAGAGCCGAAACATCGGTGTGGGAGGTTTTGGTAAAGTCTACAAAGGAGAGCTTAACGATGGTACTAGAGTAGCTGTGAAAAGAGGCAACCCGAAGTCTCAGCAAGGGCTTGCGGAGTTTCGGACAGAGATAGAGATGTTATCGCAGTTTCGTCATCGTCATTTGGTTTCTCTGATCGGTTACTGCGACGAGAACAACGAGATGATATTGATCTATGAGTATATGGAGAATGGGACGGTGAAAGGTCATCTTTACGGGTCGGGGCTTCCAAGCTTGACTTGGAAGCAACGGCTCGAGATATGCATCGGTGCTGCTAGAGGATTGCATTACCTTCACACGGGCGACTCGAAGCCCGTTATCCACAGAGATGTTAAATCAGCAAACATATTGCTCGATGAGAACTTCATGGCTAAGGTTGCGGATTTTGGATTGTCTAAGACCGGACCTGAGCTTGATCAGACTCATGTGAGTACCGCTGTGAAAGGAAGCTTCGGATATCTCGACCCTGAGTACTTTAGGAGGCAGCAGCTGACAGAGAAGTCAGATGTTTACTCCTTTGGTGTTGTTCTCTTTGAGGTTTTGTGTGCTAGACCTGTGATAGACCCGACGCTTCCGAGGGAGATGGTGAATCTTGCGGAGTGGGCGATGAAGTGGCAGAAGAAAGGGCAGTTGGATCAGATCGTTGACCAGTCGCTCCGAGGAAACATCAGGCCTGATTCGTTGAGGAAGTTTGCGGAGACGGCGGAGAAATGTTTGGCTGATTATGGTGTGGATAGGCCGTCTATGGGAGATGTGTTGTGGAATCTTGAGTATGCGTTGCAGCTGCAAGAAGCTGTGGTCGATGGAGGTGAACCGGAAGATAACAGTACGAATATGATTGGTGAGTTGCCTCCGCAGATCAACAATTTCAGTCAGGGTGACACGAGTGTTAATGTTCCGGGGACTGCGGGAAGGTTTGAGGAATCGAGTATTGATGATCTCTCTGGTGTTTCGATGAGTAAAGTGTTCTCTCAGCTTGTGAAATCTGAAGGAAGGTAAATGAGAGAATAAAGCGAAAAGGATCTGAGTCTTGTAACGAGGTGAAAAAGAACTATCAGGTCTTTTGTCTACTCGAGATGTTCTATTTATCAGTAGTGATATACAAATAGTAGTTCAAAGGGTCTCCTCTCCTTTTTTTCCCTCTTCCTGAGTTTGTATTTTGTTGCAGATTGATTGATGGATCATTTGAAGTTGTCTAAAATATTTGTTTGTTCTTTGTTTCTAAGGATGTTTTTAACAATATTTGTTGTTTCAATTGTATTGTTAAAGCTTAGAAGCTAAAACGTACTAGTTCTTCTTCTTCATGTTCTTGTTTGGTTTGGTTTGGTTTGAGAAGGGGTTTATTGCATCTTAAATCATTTTCGAGTTGTCATCCAACAGCATTGGTCTGGTTCCATTCGGTTGTTTTTTTTTACAACGTCTTAAACCACTGTTTTTTTCTCTAGTTTAGGTATATAACGAACTCCGTTCATCAGTATATATTCTTGATCATATGTTTCTTCAAGAGAGGTGTCCAAAAAAATTGTGTTTTTTTTCAGAGAGAGAGCCTCCGAACACAATCTATGCAACGAAGTTGGAGCCCATTAGAGAGAGAAGTGGGATTTTTTTTATCCCATTAGTGTTTCATGTTCTGAAACTATGCTAATAGGCTTTCAATTAAGTAAGATTAAATCAAATGAATTACAGAGCCCGAAGATCTAGTAAGCTAAGTAGCGCAATAACATGTTAAGAAAAGACCAAAATTTGAACAAAAAAAGAACTAAATTGAAATAGTGGGAAGATGAAAGCAAATTCAGTTTGTTAAGACAAATGCATGTCGTTTCACACAAACTCAATTGTAATGCGTGGCGTTTAGAATAACATGTGTGAACTTAGTCAAACTACCCTCGTCTGTTAAAATAAGTTTCATGCCGTTTCTATCTTTAAAGCCCGATTGCAAGGCGTTTCCCGCGTTTCTCCCCATTGAAACGAGATGAGCTGATAATGCAAAAAAAAATTGGAAACTGAAATAAAGGCAAATCACTAAAATTCCAAACGCGAACGCCACTTTTATCATTAAACGCAACTGAATATATTTATTTATCACATAACAACATTACAACGCAAACGCAAAAGTAAAAGACCGAATCAGACGATTATGCTAGCAAAGCCCTAAAACACCCTTAAAAGTCTTAATTTTTCTTAACCGCCGAATCCATAGAGAGTTCTTCCTTGCCTCTTGAGAGCATAAACCACATCCATAGCCGTCACCGTCTTCCTCCTCGCGTGCTCTGTGTAAGTAACTGCATCACGGATAACATTCTCCAAGAATATCTTGAGGACGCCACGTGTCTCTTCGTAGATCAAACCGCTAATTCTCTTAACACCTCCTCTACGAGCTAAACGACGAATAGCAGGTTTGGTGATACCTTGGATGTTGTCTCTGAGAACCTTCCTGTGACGCTTGGCTCCTCCTTTTCCCAAACCCTTTCCTCCCTTTCCACGACCAGACATTTTTTTCTAAGGAAGCTTTGAATTTTCTTGAGAAGTTATGCTTTTGAGATTGAGATTGAGGATTGCTATGTGGCGGAGGTGATTTATTTATATTTCAGGAGGAGAGACCTTTTTAATGTGAGTCGTTAGATCTGTCTTTAGATCTAACGGCTGTCAGTATCGATCCGCGTGAATCAATAAGATTTTATATTAGCCGTTGATGTTTTTATATCGACGGTTCATATTATCGATCCGAGTGTGGCAAAAAAAAATTGATTTTCATAACGCGCCTGGAATTGAGATAGTAGCGCCAAATATATTCACCGACTTTTTCTTTGAATTTCATTACAAGTTATAACAATCACATATGCTTAATAGATTTTACAAGTTAATATTCATTACTTATACTTTTTTTTGGTTGAAAATTATTCATTATTCATACATACTTTTAACTTTTTCTTACATATGATGAATCGAACTTTGAAAAAAAAGAAACTAATTGACAATAGTTATACGGGTTGTATATAGAGTATACAATGATAGGTTTGAGCCATGTAACATTACTACAGTAGACAAGGACATATATATATATATATACTATCTGGCCTTTGGGTACAAGTCGGTATCAAAGGTTGCAGTCACTCTCAGCTCAACAGAGCTATGACGAGAGTTTGTGTCTTGATTAGTACTTATCCTCGCGTTTTCATATTCAAGACACTCTTTATATTGGGATAACTACAAGCTATATGAAGATAACTACAAGATATAGATTGATAATGATGTTTAGTTTCCTAGTCCTTATCACAATAGGAAACATCTATGTATAAATACAGAGCTTTGGTTGTTATGTAAGACAAGTCGATTTATTCTATTCAATACTAAATTATTTCATGGTATCAGAGCAAAACGATCTGAAAACCTAATTTTTTTTTTTCTAAGAATCGTGTTTCTTAACTCTCAAGAAACATGACAGACACGACCTCAGCTCTGTCTTCTACGTCTGCAACAACGTTGCCTTCTACCAATGATTCATCTAGCATATACTATCTACATCCTTCTGATAATCCTGGAGCACTAATTACCTCCGTCTTGCTTCGTGGTGACAATTATATGGAATGGGCTACAGAGTTATCCAATTCGATTCAAGCCAAAAGAAAGCTGGGTTTTATTCAAGGAACAATTCCCAAACCTACTGAAGAACCAGACCTCTCTCGATGGTTAGCTACAAATTCGATGCTCGTTGGCTGGATTAGGACTTCAATAGATCCTAAAATCAGATCAACGGTTACCTTTGTACCCGATGCACACAAACTTTGGGACAATCTTCAACGTCGATTCTCTGTTCGGAATGGTGTTCGAATTCATCAACTCCGGGATGAGATAAATACATGTCAACAAGATGGTCAGACTGTGATCGAATACTTTGGAAGACTTACAAAATTATGGGAGGAGCTTGATAATCTTAAAGCGCCTCGCTCATGCTCATGTGACGCTTCTGCAGACATAGAAAGAGAACGTGCAGAGATACGAGTTCACAAATTCTTATTTGGTCTGGATGAGTCACGGTTTCGCAACATAAGATCTCAGATAATTGATGAAGATCCCCTTCCCGACATCAACAATGTTTATTCTCGAGTTATTCGTGAAGAACAACATAACAATACATCACGATCAAAGGAGCACAAAACAGAGGCAATTGGATTCAATGTTCAAGCTACACAATCTGATCTTGCTAGGACTGATACTCAACATTCTGCAGCAGTATTCACCAAAGGTCGTGATCCAAATCGATCGTGTACTCATTGTTTGAAAAAGGGACATGATCAGAGTGAATGTTTTCTTCTCCATGGCTATCCAGAGTGGTGGTATGAACAAAAGAATACTACCAACGCAGGCACAACTTCACGGGGACGAGGTGGACGTTTCCAAAATTCAGGCCGTGGTCGTGGCAGGTCTAACTCCTCGAGGGCAATAACCAACAATGCTTCTGCATCTCCATCTCCTACGCTCAGCAATGATCAGATCACTCAACTACTTCAACTACTTCAGACCTCTCGATCAACAATCAGTTCTGAAAAGTTATCGGGTAAACCTACATTAAAAGATGTCATCATAGATACAGGGGCATCACATCATATGACAGGAGACCTATCTATCCTGACTGATGTTATTGATATACACTCTTCTTCGGTTAAATTTCCCAATGGTCGCTCCTCTAGAGCAACGAAGAAGGGAAAACTTGTGCTTAGTCAAGACTATTACTTGACTGATGTTTTATATGTTGAAGATTTTAACTGCACACTGATATCGGTTTCTTGTCTCCTCAAACAAACCGGTTGCATTGCTATCTTTACTGACACCCTCTGTGTTTTGCAGGACCGTTTTACGAAGACCCTGATTGGAACGGGTGAAGAACGTGAGGGGGTTTATTATTTCAAAGGGGTCACGGCTGCACGTGTTCATCGGACTGAGTACAAGAATTCTTCTACTTCAGAACTATGGCATAGAAGACTTGGACACCCTTCTTTTCGAGTTTTGTCATCTTTACATGTTTTAGATAAACTGGTTTTTGATTCTGAGCAAGCCTCAACTTGTGAGATTTGTTTTCGCGCCAAACAAACGCGTCAAGTTTTTAATAATAGTTCACACAAAGCTTTTGAACCATTCTCTTTGATACATTGTGATGTGTGGGGACCCTACAGAACCACTTCTTCGTGTGGTGCTAGATACTTCTTAACTATTGTCGACGACTATTCTCGCGCAGTATGGACTTATCTAATGTTAGAGAAATCAGAGGTTTCGAAATTGCTCAAAGAATTTATGGCTATGTGCGAGCGCCAGTTTGGAAAGAAAGTCAAGACAGTTCGCACAGACAATGGCACTGAGTTTCTCATTCTTTCGGCCTACTTTAAACAGCAAGGCATTATCCATCAAACATCTTGTGTCTATACACCACAACAGAACGGGCGCGTTGAGCGGAAGCATCGCCACATTCTGAATGTAGCTCGTGCGTGTCTCTTTCAGGCGCGTCTCCCAGTCACATTCTGGGGTGAGAGTATACTAACAGCTGCTCACCTTATTAACCGTACACCATCTCAAGTTCTTCAAGGCAAAACACCATATGAACTCCTTTTTGGAGCAAAACCAGATTATGATAAGCTTCGCGTCTTTGGCTGTTTATGTTACTCTCATAGAAAGGCGCGTGACAACGATAAATTTGGGGATCGAAGCAGAAAGTGCATCTTTGTTGGCTATCCTTATGGAAAGAAAGCTTGGAAGTTATATGACCTTGAGACTAACGAGTTCTTCACTAGCAGAGATGTTGCTTTTTCGGAATCTAAATTTCCAGGTGTGCATATTGATGAGTACGTTACCCCTCCTATGAACACCTATGATCCTACTATAGATGACTGGCTATTACCCGACTTGACCTCAAGGGGGAGTTCGCAGCCTTTGCCATCTTCACTTCCCTCCAGCTCAGATCACGCAGTCATACCATCTACTGCTCCTACTGCTGTCCCGACTTCTACAGACACTACTGCACCACCTGCAGAGCCTACGCCTACTACTCCTGTCTCTCCGCCACCGACGCATTCTGTGACTCCGTCCTCTGCTGTGCAACATACGCCTGAACCTACGATGTCTCCTGGTATACCCGAGATTCTTGGTCGCGGTCAGAGGCATAAAACAAAATCAATTCTCCTCAAAGATTATGTCACTCACTCTGCTCTACTTGATAATAAACCCACTCATGTTCTCTGCTCGCCTGATCTTGGTCCTTCGGCAACGGTCTCAGGTATGACACCATATCCTATATCTAGTTATGTGACTGACCAGAGTTTTTCAGTCAAACATCAGGCATTTATGGCTGCGCTCATTACTGATGATGTTCCTAAGAGCTACCGTGAGGCCTCCAAACAACAACTATGGTGTGATGCTATGCACAAGGAAGTCGTGGCTTTTGAGGACACTGATACGTGGGAGGTTACATCTTTGCCTCCGGGGAAGAAAGCTCTTGGCAATCAATGGTTGTACTCTAACAAATATAATGCGGATGGGACGTTGGAAAGACCTAAAGCACGCCTGGTTGTGTTGGGCAATCATCAAACTGAAGGGGAAGACTTTACTGATACTTTTGCGCCGGTTGCTAAACTTGCTTCTGTCCGCTTCATACTTAAACTTGCAGCCGTTAAGAATTGGTTTGTACACCAGATGGATGTTACCAATGCATTCTTACATGGTGACCTCGAAGAAGAGATATATATGAAACTTCCGCAGGGTTTTAAGTGCTCCGATCCTACAAAAGTGTGTCGTCTCAAGAAATCGTTGTACGGTCTGCGCCAAGCACCGCGTTGCTGGTACTCTAAGCTCACTAAATCTCTCCTTGACTTCGGTTTTTCTCATGACTATGCTGACCAGTCTTTGTTCTCTAAAGTTCGTGGTTCCACATGCTTACATATACTCGTGTATGTGGATGATTTTGTGATTGCATCTAATGACGCTAAGATTCTACAAGAGTTTAAAGACTACCTTCATCGTTGCTTCCGTATGAAAGATCTTGGCACTTTAAAATATTTTCTCGGCCTCGAAGTTGCCAGGAATCAGACTGGGTTTTATGTCTCTCAACGCAAGTACGCTCTTGATATTATTAAAGAGACTGGTCTTCTTGGAGCCAAACCATGTCCTGCACCTATGGAGCTAAACCACAAACTCGCTTTGGCTGAAGGTCCTCTCGCCAATGTGCAACAATACAGGCGCCTGGTGGGGCGTTTAATCTACCTTACAAATACGCGGCCTGATCTTGGATATGCTATTCATACGTTGTCTCAGTTCCTTCAGAAGCCATTGTTACCTCATTGGGAAGCTGCGTTACGTGTGGTTCGATATCTCAAGGGAAGTCCAGGCCAAGGAATTTTTCTCAAAGCTAATGATAATCTTCAACTCAGTGTCTACTGTGATGCTGATTGGTCATCTTGCCCAATATCTAGGCGTTCTCTAAGCGCATATATTACTTTCTTAGGTGAGTCTCCGGTTGCGTGGCAGACCAAGAAGCAAGATACAGTCTCTCTTTCGTCCGCTGAAGCTGAGTACCGTGCAATGTCTGTTGCTCTCAAAGATCTCAAATGGATGAAGGGCCTTCTACAATCCTTTGGTATTGCGCATCCGACGCCTATGAAGCTCTACTGTGACAGCAAATCAGCTCTGTATATTGCTGCAAATCCGGTGTTCCATGAACGCACTAAACATATTGAGCGTGACTGTCATCACGTACGGGATGCAGTTACCTCCAAACTTATCACAACAGAGCATGTTACTTCTCAGAACCAACTGGCGGACATCCTTACTAAGTCACTCCCAGGACCAGCATTTGACAGATTCTTGTCCAAGTTGGGTGTTCGTAATCTCACACTGCCAACTTGAGGGGGAGTATTGGGATAACTACAAGCTATATGAAGATAACTACAAGATATAGATTGATAATGATGTTTAGTTTCCTAGTCCTTATCACAATAGGAAACATCTATGTATAAATACAGAGCTTTGGTTGTTATGTAAGACAAGTCGATTTATTCTATTCAATACTAAATTATTTCACTTTAAGTTTGATGATAACTTGTGACATGTTTGGTCGTTTGGCGGACGAAGGATTTGCACATGACATTGCTACTTCGAGAGCTCTCCAGACAGAGCGAGGCTCGTAATTCCCTTGAAGCTTAGGGTCCACGATCTGACTAATATCTCCTTTCTTGATCACATATGTCACCCATTCCGCTATGTTTGGCTTTTTACGTGTTTGATCAATCACTCGCTGGTTTGTGATAATCTCCAATAATAAGATCCCAAAACTGTAGATATCACTCTTCAGAGACAACTCACTTGTTAAGTAATATCTGTCAAGATAAGATGGAGTGGTGATTCATATACTGTACAATTTCATAATTAATTAAAAAAGAACGAGAATATATTTCAACCATGGTAATTAAGTGGATTAGTATACTTACTCAGGATCAAGATATCCCAAAGTGCCAGCAACTACTGTTGAAACTCGAGATTGATCACCTCCAACTTGGAAAGATCTCGAAAGACCAAAATCAGCAATTTTGGCTTTGAATTCTTCATCCAACAGTATGTTAGTACTTTTGACATCTCTGTGCACCATTGCTGGCTTGCATCCAATATGCAAGTATTCTAATCCTAATGCAGCCTCGATGGCTATTTGAAGTCGAGTCCCCCAGTCCAAAACAGAGCCAACATGTTTTCCTAAAGCACATGCAATAATTTATGTATAGTTAAGTTGCAGCCTTCAGGACATTGACATTACTAGAAGAAGAAATAAAAATCTCCATGGTTTTATTAGTTTAGTTATCACTTAAATATCCTTTGAAGTTACATGTTCACCTGATAAATGCTGATGCAAGTCCCCATTGGACATGTATTCGTAGATGAGGGCAAAATGATCTTTTTCATCGCAATACCCGACCAGACTTACCAAATTTATATGGTGAACCCTCAAAAGAAGTTCTACCTGATCAATAATACATCAAACATACAAATACATATTGATTTAATTAAATTCTCAATATTAACTCTCATTTTTAGATGATTTATATACCTCTGCCTTAAATTCTTTATAGCCTTGTGCTGATGTTTGGGAAAGTAGTTTGACCGCTACTTGCTCTGAACCATTTAGGTTACCATGATAAACGATGCCAAACCCTCCTTCACCAAGAGGTTGTTGCAAGTTATTAGTCATTTCTAAAACTTCTGAATAAGTAAACCTTCTCCGTCTTGTCTTTATCCATGGTTCAGATTTATTTCCTGCACGTAAAGCATATGCAAGTATATAAGATAAAACATGCTTTACATAGTATCGAAAAAAAAATCTTCCATACTTGATGACTTTTTCTTTATCAACACGAATACGAGGATCATCATGACAACGATAGCAGCAATGGAAGCAATGGATGCGATTATTGTCACTGGAAATTTCTTCTTTGGCTTATCTATGCATGTACTAGATAGACAAAGATGTTTGTTTCCGAGGACACTACAAAAGAGAGCCATATTGAATCAATCTTTTAAATTGGGATATTTGATTAGTTAAAGATTAAAATCCTGAGAGGTCTTTCTTACTTTAACTTTAACCCTTCTCTTTCTCTATTAAGAAGACTTTGAGGAATCGAACCACTAAGATTGTTCCCGTTCAAGTTTCTGTCAGAGCAGAGGAAGAGTCATATGTACACAAACATGATTTGTGTTAAACATTATTAGTAGATAAATTTAAGGAAAAACTGTATTACATGACCAACAATGATTTCATAGAGGCTAGAAACTCTGGCACCACCCCACTCAAAGTGTTATTTGACAAATCCCTGCGACGTATGAGACAATAAACCATTTATTTTCTTTGTGTCCATATATTAAAAAAGTCTGTAAAGAGAAATGAACAAGAATCATCCTTACAAAATCTCTAGATGGTTCAGATTCTGAAAGCCAGATAGTATGGTTCCAGTCAAGCCACTTGAAGATAAATTTCTGGTTATTAATTAGAGAATATATCATCAGTTAAGATTATATATGAACATTATATGTTAGTAGTTTCCTAAGTTCATGTAAGATCTTACAAGGATATTATTCTTGGTGGCAAAGATATATCTGAGATGTTACAGTTTAATCCATCCCACAAGAATTGGCTGGGAACGCATGGATCTCCTTGCCAGTTAATTCTATTTAATTCATAAGTAGAACTGATGTTCTTCATAGCAACCACTGGCGTAAATTTTCATTGATGAAGAAAAAATAAAAGAATAAACGGATTTAATGATTGTGTTAAATAATCATCTATGAAAAAAATATTTTCTTATACCTTCAGTTTCACTTGTCTGAAGTTGTGGAAGCTGAAGAACTGAGTAAACTTCAAAACCATTAAGTAGAGGTGGAAGTGTCGAACTTTGGGTTTTTATCAACTGCATACGACAGATACCTCTGTTGCATTCCTTAGGAATTGTAGTAAGCATAGTCTCTATTTCAAGATACTTAGGATTAAGAGCATTTATATTAAGTGTTTCTCCATTCAACAAACAGTCAAATTCTCTAGTATCATTGGCCTCTAGATCTTGGATCTCAGCAAAGTGTCGATACAAGTAGATTTGATCATCAGGATTCTCCAAACTCCAAGTTATCGTCAGTGGTCCATCCACATTTTTAGGTATCGCGGCCACTCTAAGCACAGCTTGTGGTGGATCATAGTGATTTGTATTGGACACATTTGAAGTTGTCGAAATTTGTGTCCAGTTGTCACACTACAAGAAAAAGATGTGATCTCCGACAACCATATTAAACGGAACTTTGTCGGAAACGAGTGTTTCCTAGCATTTACCGAGAATCAAATTTTTGTCGGCGTTTGACGGTCGGAAATAACCATTTCTCGGGAAATTCTCGGTAAGTTCCGACCAAAATTATTGTCGGTAACATCTATGGGAAAATCGTCGGAACATAC